TATATACATATATATATATATATATATATATATATATATATACTATATATTTAATATATATATTTATTATATCTATTAATATATATAATATAATTAGTCAATATATAATAAATATATATATATATTATATATTATATATATAATATTATATTTATATTGATAATTATAGTATATATATTATATATATGATATATATATATATATATATAAATATATTTAATATTTTAACTTATAAATATATATAGATATATATTATTATATATATATATATATTTATATAAAATATCTTTTATATATATTATATATATTATATATATTATAATATTATATATTATATAATATTATATATAATTATTATATTATATATCTATATATATGATTATATATAATTAACAAGGAGTGTAGGGCAATATCGCAATCATATCACTACACACGCACACCGTAAGCAAGACACTCGACCTGAAGTAAAGGAAAAAGTGTTTTATTAAAAGGAAACCTAGCTAGCAAAGTAGCCTTACTGCGTCAGGAGGGATGGCTATGGCTAGGACAGGGGAGGCAGGCAGGAAGAGTAAGAGAGGGTGGGAAGAGGAGGTAGACAGATTCTTAGGGGAAGGGGGGTCGCGAGATCTTTACTGGGTTTCTCTATGGTATTCAGGTAAACTCGCCAAATTTTTACCAACCACTAGGCTTGATTACGTTAGTAGTCACCCAGAAGTTTGATTATCAGAAAGTAGGGCTTTTGATCCAAGATGTTGAGTGGTCTGGGGCTTCATACTTTATCTCCTCTTGACTTGTGTCTCTGGCAAAAACTATCATATACCTTATTAAGTTTGAATCTCCCAATTCGCACCGCCCTCATTATTCCGGAATTTACTGGTATCCTCAAACATTAAATTCTTTTAACCTATAAAAAAAAAGGAAACCTCTGTACATGCTGTTTAGTAAGTCCCTGTCAACCCCATGATGAACCCAGACTATCATCACTGACCATCCGGATAAATGAACGAACTATGGATTTATCAGGTTAAACTATGAAGCTTGACACATCTGACAATTATGTCAAATACAATGAGAGAGGAACATGAATAAGGAAATCTGAAGACAACACATAAGGATCAGTAACAATGAGCTGAAGAGCAAGTGTTAAGAGGCTTCGCATGCTGTCTCAACAACAGGTGTAAAGAAACTTGTCAGTGTAAGAGATATCAGGTCACTTAATTTCACCTCTACCAAGATCAGTTGTCGTTTTTGTTAAAGCAATAATCTGGTAATGGATAATTGCTCAGAACCTTTAATCTTTGCATCGATGGCCAATACAGGACCTGCCTAGTATGGGCAACTGGCTGCTGCTGTGTTCCTCGCCTTTCGTTATGTTCTTAAATATATGTCCAAGGGCAAGAGAGATTCCAATCTTTTAATACTAGCCAAATTATTATGTCCACAAGTGAACGCGTTTAAAATCTTTCATCGCTGCCTAAACATATACCGAAAAAGGGTGCAGATCTTTCAGACCCCCCCCTCGCTGGTGATGACATCCTCCAGTACACACCACACGGATCTTAAATAGTAGTTTGAGAATCTGTAGCGCATATGCGAGGCTTGTAGCAGTGTCAGCCTGCGCTGGGAGACTTGTAGGCAGTGTCAGCCTGCGCTGGGAACTTGTAGCAGTGTCAAACTTATGAACGCGAGGCCACATATTTACAATCTAAAACGGTCCAGATATATACTCACAATGGTGCAGAGAATTTCAACGTATATATTGTTACTTTTGTCTTATAGGTCAGAGTGGAGAAAAGGTGTGATTACTAGCGCATTGGTTTTTATCGTCGCGCTAAATCCTACTGGGTCCACCCCCCCCCCCCCTCCCCCCCCCCCCCCGCCCCCCCTCCCCCCCCCCCCCCCCCCTCCCCCCCTGCTCAGGTTAAGGAGTTGTGGGAAAGTTCGATCTACGAGTCTCGAATGTTCGTTAAAGACAGACCACCACAAGTTATGGGGTGCAGGAAAATAATAATGCACAACGACAGACCTACGACTACTACTATCAGGTAAGACATAAGGCGTGAGAGGAGTAGAGAGTGGTAGGATAAGTGGAGAGAGAAGTGGAGGAAAGGAAATTGATTTTGATGAAGTGAAAGGAAAAGGCGGGGACTAGACCTCCTCAGCCGCTAGGGAGTTTGTTGACCAAAGTTGGAAAAGTCTGTTTGTTGTGGATGACTTTTGTTTTCTGTAACGTGGTCAAGAGACCTAAACAGATGGCCCCTTTCCTTGTCATCCGACGTTATTCGCTGTAGAAACTAGCGGGAATACAACGATCACCTGTGTGGCAGGATGAGAAAATCATTATGGTAATAGCTGAGAGGACTCTTCCAGCGTCCGGATCGGTCATTTACACTATTTCCTTCACCTACCTGTTCTCTGGGATAGCAAGCCGAGACGGTAATATTGAAGAGTCTCTCTGACACTGGCTCTCTCTGGGCTCAGACACGGTTTGCTGTTTTCATGACACTCTGTTGGAACCACCAGCACTCTCCACCGAGGTCAGGTGACTCAGAAAAAGAGGAAACATTTTACTATCTCTTTCAAATAATCGCTGTGTTTGCCTGAAGTGAGCTGCTATCAAGGTTTCAGATGACCTGTCAGCCGCAAACATCCTCACCCATTTTTTTTCCTCAAAGTATAAACACATTACTCATTGTTCAGGTATGTAAATAAAGTTCCCATACACCTCCCCTCAACTCATTGCGCCGAGAATCGTTTACCAAGTTGCAGTTCTGGTCTTCGCACAGGAGATGGTTAAAACAACAGTTAGACATGGAATGTCGGTGTGGATCTATAATTTCCTCACTAACAGAACCACAGTATCAGTTAGTCGTCACAGAGTACAAGTCCGAGGCAGCTACGGTGAAAAGCTTGTTCCTCAAGGCACTAGTACTCGCTCCATTTGTTCCTATCGCTTTTATCGAAATAGACAAAGGATGGCAGCCACTCAGCTACCGTGTCTTCCTTTGCAGAATGTCACCCGAATCTGCTCATGGACAGTGTTTTCCATTGCAGACATCTGCAAGCCCAGGCAGGACATCAACCAATCTTTCAGTGGGCTCTGCAGAAAACTAGATGAAGTCAATGATGAGAAATTTTATAACTTCTCAATTTTATTACTCAGAAATATGTGTAAAAATATGAGAAATTAAATCTCAGTCAGAGTTATCGCAAACACAAGAATTCTGGCCACAAAATTATGAGCGAAACACCACCGTCAAAGAGACCTGGACCAAAGTGATAATGTCGGAGGTATTCCCTTCAGGACCATAAATTGTATCTATCGCATCTGCTAGAAAAAATGACAGGACTGGATAATGTAGAACCTTCAAGAAAACTAGGGAGTCCACAGCCCCATGATTGACACTCTCTTCATGGTCATCTTGTTTAGCTGGGCTTGGTGTAATATTGACTGAACCTCACTAACGAGCACCTTTCAAGGGCAGGTGAAATTGGCCGACCGTGTAAATGTACAGAGAAACTTTCACGGCGGATAAACAGGAGATTTTAAAAAACCCTCATTATATTGGGACGCTTGGAGGTTCCTAACCGGTATTCCATGGAACGCAGGAGAGGAGAGATATTACATGATTATATACACCTCCATGGGAACATCTAGTAGGGACTTTTGTGTACCGAACCTTGCACACGAAAATCACCCACTACGAAAGCAAAGACTTTGGCTGACGTAGCACCATCACGTCCCAATGAAAAGATAGGGGTGTCACTAGCACGTTAAGAGACCATACAATAAGTTGTCTTGGGGCCGGAGATCTGTTCAACTGCACGCCCCTGTCCACATATGAAGGGGGATTACCAACAGTCCCTCTGGCAGTCTTACAAGTGGGTCATGGACAAGCACCTAAAGAATAAACTCGCAGTTCACCGGATCAGCCGGGCGGTGGCTCGTATGGTTGTTTTGCGTGCTCAGCGCAAGCAGCGAACAGCCTTGGTTTGATCAGGCTCGGATCCACAGTGAGGCCTGGTCTCAGACCCGTGGCCGCGGGGGCCGGTTGGAACCCCGGAACTCTCTCCAGGGTAAAACTTCCAGGTCTCCAGGTTAAACCCACTGTGCCTCTGGTATAATATTAAGTTTTAGCTGATGTGCTACACATTACATTAATTCTGACACCATTAATAACCACGAAAAACAGCAGTCTGCATGACACAAAAGATTTGCAATACAAGCCCCGCTGACAGCACCTTAAAGCTTCCCTCCTGTGCCCTCCTCCGGGGCAGGCTGGGAATGGTGTGACATCCAACCCAAGGGCAGGCCGGGAATGGCGTGACATCCAACCCAGGGGCAGGCTGGGAATGAGTGGTGCTGGATGGAGTAGGTTCGCCTAAATCCTGGTCTGGCAGTATAGGTTATCTTGAGGTAGGGTGTGGTAAGGCATGGCAGGGCAAGTTAAAAGTTAATTACGGTAAGTTAGACTTAGTGTATGGTAGGTTAAACTAAGGATAGGATAGGTTAGACTAAGGCATGGCACAGTGAGAGAATAATGTATAGTGTGGAATACACTATAACAGGAGGAAAGAGACGTATCACGAGGCAACCTTCACTCTCAACACATTGCAGTACCCAGTACTAGGTATCCTGGCCACTACAACACTGTCAGTACCCAGTGCAGGGTACCATGGCCACTACAACTCCGCCAGTACCCGGTACCTTGGTCAATACAACACTGTCAGTACCCACTACTGGGTATCCTTTTGTTGGGTTATCACAGCATAATCAGTATTCGAGCTTTACACAGCATCCGGGGAAGGTTACCTATAATAGTATTAAGGGGAGGTCACTTAAGACAGCATCAGTGAGCCGCCACCATGACACCTAGCATTCAAGCAAACTGTACGCTTCGGCACCTCCGGTGACATCTACGCGACCTGGCATCCTAAATTTGATTAAATGTGACCTGGCATCCTGAACAATGGTTTGTAAGTGACCTGGCACTACTCAC